AAAGAGATGTAGCTGGAAAATTCAGTACAAGTCAAACTGGCTGATATCTTAATAATTAAAGGGAAGATACAAATAACAATCCAGGAGAGTGGCTTGGATAATTCTCCTCTGTTGAATTTACAAAAGAAGATTGTTAAAGGTTTGAAGAATTTTGTAATTAAAAAAGATCAAGGTCTGGGGCATTATTTGAAGGGAATAAAGATCAGTTTTACTAGTGAAATTAATGAATGTGAATCTATTCATATAAATAATATTATTTTAATAAAAGTCCATTAATAGACTTTTGCTGATCAGGATGAAGTGACATGGCTTTAAGGATTTGTATATCTATAAGGGTTGGGATATAGAAAGAAGAGATCATTTGTTGTATTTTTAAAAGAAAGTAATATTAAAACAGTTTATACTTGTGAGGAACAGGAAGTCATTTGTGCATTTTTTTTCTTTACTACGTTCTTATTTTTCTTTCTATTTTTCTTCCTATATTTTTTTCACTATTTTTCTTTTTTTTATTCTTTTAATTTGTATTAGTTTTGATCTTTTTAATTGTAGCTTTTAATAAAATTCATGTATAAAAAGAATGGAGCTGAAGGACAGGCGGGTTCCCATTGGCTAAAAGTTCTTAGATTTCCATCTTCCCACAGGGATTTCCCCCCTCCTTTCTGAAGGTAAGGCACTTAGTATTTTATCAGAGGTCCTTCATTCTTTAGGAACAATTGGAAAGGTGATGTGGCTTTACTGCTGTTCTGTTCTGCCTCATCAGTGGGGCTTTCCCCCCCTCCTTGTTACAAAAGAGCTATTTCCCCCCCCCCCCATTCCTTTGTTAGGCAGCTGGGTGACCTTTCTGTGCTCCACTTATTTCATTCTCCCAAGCCCCAAAGGGCAGCAAATAGGGATATTAATATGGCAGTGTCAATCCACTGCAGAAAAAAAGCAAGCCTAGTGGCTGTATAGAAGTGTACTCAGAGGGTGTAGGGGATGGCCCAGCCCCAGAGGATTCTTTAAAAGCTTTGTTTTATCTTAAACCCTCTGGATTAGGGACAGGCAATGCGTGGTCCTCTGATGCGGCTGCCTTTCACTTCCCAGCATCCCTCACCACTGGATCTGCTGGCAGAAGCCTCTCAGTTACACTCCACTGATTTCCCATACACGTTCCAGAAAAAGGAGGTTAATTTTTGATCTTCTAGTTTTGCAAGGACAACTTCCTTTTCACATGGTATTCTCTTTGATTAAAGTCACACCCGTGAACTAAAATGGCTAGGCATCTGCCAAGGAACAAATCCCAGTAGGGCCTCAAGAGCACCCCAGATTTCAGATGCATCATCTCCCCTAGATCAACATATTCCTTTCATGGAGGTTCAAGAGCCAGCTTAAACTTCTTGTGTGGTGTGAAGGTCACGCTATAAATATGCATGGAGCCTGGACCCAAAATGACCAGTTTTATGAAGCCCTAAAGCACCTTATAGAATTAACACCAAAAAATGATGCTCTTATCATCATGGGGGATTGGAATGCTAAGGTAGGAAGCCAAAAGATAACCGGAATAACAGGCAAGTTTGGCTTTGGAGTACAAAATGAAGCAGGGCACAGGCTAATAGAATTTTGTCAAGAGAATACGATGGTCATAACAAACACTCTTTTCCAACAACCCAAGAGACGGCTCTATACATGGACATCACCAAACGGTCAACATAGAAATCAAATTGACTATGTGCTCTGCAGCCAAAGATGGAGAAGCTGTATACAGTCAGTAAAAACAAGACCAGGAACTGACTGTGGCTCAGATCATGAGCTTCTCATTGCAAAATTTAGGCTTAAATTGAAAAAAGTAGGGAAAAGCACTAGGCCACTCAGGTATGAACTAAATCATATTCCTGATGAATATACAGTAGAGGTGACAAATAGATTTAAGGAATTAGATCTGATAGACAGAGTGCCTGAAGAACTATGGATGGAAGTTCGCAACATTGTACAAGAGGTAGCAACTAAAACCATCCCAAAGAAAAAGAAATGCAAGAAAGCAAAATGGCTGTCTGAGGAAGCTTTGCAAATAGCTGAGGAAAGAAGGGAAGCGAAAGGCAAGGGAGAAAGAAAAAGATACACCCAATTGAATGCAGAATTCCAGAGAGTAGCTAGAAGAGATAAGAATGCCTTCTTAAATGAACAGTGCAAAGAAATAGAAGAAAACAACAGAATAGGGAGGACCAGAGATCTCTTCAAGAAAATTGGAGATATGAAGGGAACGTTTCATGCAAAGATGGGCATGATAAAGGACCAAAATGGCAGAGACCTAACAGAGGCAGAAGAGATTAAGAAGAGATGGCAAAACTACACAGAAGAACTATACAAGAATGAGCTTAACATCCCAGATAACCACAATGAGATGGTCACTGACCTTGAACCAGACATCCTAGAATGTGAAGTGAAATGGGCCTTAGAAAATCTGAGCAACAACAAAGCTAGTGGAGGTGACAGTATTCCAGCTGAGCTATTCAAAATCTTAAAAGACGATGCAGTAAAAGTGCTACACTCAATTTGCCAGCAAATTTGGAAAACTCAACAGTGGCCACAGGATTGGAAAAGGTCAGTTTACATTCCAATTCCAAAAAAGGCAACGCCAAAGAATGTTCAAACTATCGCACCATTGCACTCATTTCACATGCTAGTAAAGTTATGCTTAAAATCCTACAAGCTAGACTCCAGCAGTATGTAGATCGAGAACTACCAGAAGTACAGGCAGGATTTCGAAGAGGCAGAGGAACTAGAGATCAAATTGCCAACATACGCTGGATCATGGAGAAAGCTAGGGAGTTCCAGAAAAACATCTACTTCTGCTTCATTGACTATGCAAAAGCCTTTGATTGTGTGGATCACAACAAATTGTGGCAAGTTCTTAAAGAGATGGGAGTACCAGACCATCTCATTTGTCTCTTGAGAAACCTATATGCGGGTCAAGAAGCAACAGTGAGAACTGGACACGGAACCACTGATTGGTTCAAAATTGGAAAAGGAGTCCGGCAAGGCTGTATACTGTCGCCCTGCCTATTTAACTTATATGCAGAGCACATCATGAGAAAGGCAGGGCTAGATGAATCAAAAGTTGGAATTAAGATTGCCGGGAGAAATATCAACAACCTAAGATATGCAGATGATACCACTCTAAGGGCAGAAAGTGAAGAGGAACTAAAGAGCCTCTTGATGCGGGTGAAGAAGGAGAGTGCAAAAGTTGGCTTGAAACTCAACATTAAGAAAACCAAAATCATGGCATCCGGCCCTCTCAATTCCTGGCAAATAGATGGGGAAGAAATGGAGGTAGTGACAGATTTTATTTTTCTGGGCTCAAAGATCACCTCAGATGGGGACTGCAGCCAAGAAATTAAAAGACGCTTGCTCCTGGGGAGGAAAGCTATGGCAAATCTAGACAGCATACTAAAAAGCAGAGACATCACCCTGCCAACAAAAGTGCGTATAGTCCAGGCCATGGTTTTCCCAGTTGCAATGTATGGCTATGAAAGTTGGACCATAAGAAAGGCTGAGCGGAAAAGAATTGAGGCCTTTGAACTATGGTGCTGGAGAAGACTCAGGCGAGTCCCTTGGACTGCAAGGCGTTCAAACTGGTCAGTCCTAGAAGAGATCAACCCCGACTGCTCTTTAGAAGGCCAGATCCTGAAGTTGAAACTCAAATACTTTGGCCACCTAATGAGAAGAAAAGGACTCACTGGAGAAGGGCCTAATGGGAAAGATTGAGGGCAATAGAAGAAGGGGACGACAGAGAATGAGATGGCTGGATGGAGTCACTGAAGCAGTAGGTGTGAACTTAAATGGACTCCAGAAGATGGTAGAGGACAGAAAGACCTGGAGGAACGTTGCCCATGGGGTCGCGATGGGTCGGACACGACTTTGCAATTAACAACAACACCATGTATGTATGTATGTATGTATGTATGTATGTATGTATCAGTGGTGGGATTCAAATATGGGAACAACTGGTTCTCTGTGTGGATGCCACTTCCGGAAGTCCATTCTAGGCCTGGGCAACAAAAAATTAGCTACTGGTTCTGCCGAAGTGGTGCGAACTGGCTGAATCCCACCACTGGTATTTATGTATGTATTTTATACATAGTCTACAGTGGAGGTTCTTTCTTCCCATGACTTCTAGCGCTTTCTATGGTCTCTCTAGGATATTACCCCTCCATCCTTTTCTGAACAACTGAGCTGCATGCTGGAATATAAGCATTGATTACACAAGCAGAATTGGAAAGTACCACTTTATATCAAAGAAGGGGGGCCTCTAGTGTACTATCTGCTTGTTGGCCACAGATTGGCTAAGTCTCCCCTCCTCCATTAAGTTTATATATCTCACTAAGTTTCCTTCATTTTGAATTACCAGTGTTATATGAACACTCACTCACTGTAATCTGTAGTTCATAATTTCTAACAGTTTGTGGGAACCCCACTCAATTCTTGCTTATTCAGTAAACCACAGTCAATCTGCTAATGCAGACACAATCAGAACTTAATCTCTTGATCTGTGCTTGAAATATGAGGGAAGCACAATGGCAAGTTTATGACCTACAAAACCCCCTTTAAATCCCATTCATCTGAAGGGGCCTTAGGCAGCCTATTTGTTCCCATCTGCAGTACAGAGAAATGCCATTGATTTGTCCTAAGGATTATGGAGAAGAAGAAGAAAAAAGTGCCAGAAACCAATTTTCATTTCTGTATTTTGAGGAAGGGATGCACCAGCAAAACCAAGGATGGGTGAACCTTGGGAAGACCTATCATTTGCCGGCGATGCCATCCATCCCCTCCGCTCAGCTAAAAACACCAACCCTCTCCGAGCTCAGCGTTTCTGTATCCACACCCTCCTTTCCTTCCTTCCTCCCGCACCTTCTCCTCCCTGGCCCCACGATGTTGCGGGAAGCAGCAGATCAGGGGGCCTGTTGCTGTTCGGTCCCCCCCCCCTCCACGCCTTTTCTCCTCCCCTGGAAGACCAACCGCTCGTCTTCACATTGTCAGCAGGAGGAGCTGCGAGGTAAGCCGCGAGACGGAGGTGGGTCTCCCGGGCTGAGATGAGACGGCGCTGACCTCCGCCAATTTCAGCCCGGGGGTGGGCTCGTTGAAATGCTCGGGACCGAGGACCCAAGCCACCAGCAAACGGCGATGGGGCTGCGGGAGAGACACTGCGCGGGCTTTGCCGGACGCCATGCAGAAGCCGCTGCCGCCGCGGCCACCGCTGCTGTTGCCACAGGAGACCTGAACTGACCCTCCAAAATCGCAGCCTGCTCCCTGACCGATCTGCTGGCTTCCTCCAACAACTCTCGGCCCCCGCCCCGGGAGGCCGAAGGCAATAAACCCCCGCGACAGAAGAGGTGAGCGAACTACACTCCGGGGAGAACTCCTGTTTGAAGCAGGCTTCCCGGGACCGCAGGGGTGGGTAGGGGAGGAAAACCTCGGGGAAGCTCTGTCAAACGAAACAGCCAAGGGTTGCCTTCATCGGATTGGGGCGTTTCTGGGGGCCACGGATTTCCCCCATCGCCGATGCCAGGGAGAGGCTGTGGCTCCCCGAGGGGGGGGGGGAGCTGTAGCGAGTGGCTCTGGGTGGACCCGGAATTAGGGGAAAAGATGGCAACAGAAACCCCACGACGAAATCTCTCTTTGCCTTTCGGGAAGGTGTTCGGGGTGCCTGATGCCGTTTCCGCCCAGCCGCCCTGCTAGAACTTAAATCTTCAATCTGTACGACAACAATTATTAGGGGAGGGGGGAGAGAAAAGAAAGGTGGGGTTCTTTCCCCGCCCCCAACTCGGGTGCCCAGGATGGGGAGGAGGGCTTAGAACTTCCGACGCAGCCAATCATGACGCCCAGGACAGTGAATGGCAAAGGGGGGGAGAGGGGGAGGCTGAAATTTGCAACCTGCTCAGCCTCCGCTTGACGCCCCTTGGGACTTATTAAGAGCTTCCACTTTTCGCCACCGCTGCAGCAACCATCCCGGCAGACCCGATTTCCTTTGCGGCGACGCTTCTCTCGCCTTTGGCGGGCATGGAGAGGCAGAGCACAACGGGGATTTATTTATTTATTTTGCCGAAAACCCCACTTGATTCTTTTGCCTGTCCTTCGTAACTGTCTACTTTTATTGCAGATTCTGGAGGGAGCCAGACAATGGTGGATCCGGTAGCGGATCCTGGCAAGGACGCATGCCCCGATCCTGGGAGTGCCGCGGGGGGAGAAGAGGCTGCGGCAGCCGCTACCTCCGCGACGGCCGAGGCTGCAGTTCAGCCGCCCGCACCCCTTCCGGCAGCGGTGCCTCCTCCAGTCAGAGACCCGGAGAAAACTCGCGAAGAGTCGCCGATGCTGCACCTGGATCTGTACAACTTCGACTGCCCGGAAGCCCAAGGCAGCCGCTACGTGCTCACCAGTCCCCGCTCCCTTGAAGCCTGCGCTCGATGTGCCGTCAAGCCGGTGGAGCTGCTGACCCGGCCGCTCAACGAGCTGATCAAGGAGGCTCCCGGCAGGTCTATGCGCGTCGCCGCCGGCCTCTATGAGGCCTACGAGATGGATCGGCAGAGGAAGCTGCAGCAGTGCCGGGAGGAAAGGGAGAGGATAATCCGAGAGGAGAAGCGGAGGCTTTTCACGCCTGTCCTGACCGGAAGCCTCCCTTCCTCCCCGGCTTCCAGGACGGCCTTCAAAAGCACTGTGCCCGATGGGAGCTGCCCTTCGGCAGGCAAGCCCAAAGCGGCTGCAGGGCCCCCACCTCCTCCCCTGAGTGGCCCCAAAACCAAGAAGAGCCACTCCCTGGATTCCCTGCAAAAGAGGAGAGAGGGCTTCTCCACCAAGACCTCCTCTGACTCAGGGGCCTCATCTTCCTACAGCGGAGACAGCAGCAGGGACAAATGGTCCCAGGGTCTGCCTAGGACTAAGAACGTGGCCACCATGACCTCCCTGGTGGGTCGCAGTTTCAGCCTGAGTGACCTGAGCCACTCCCCACAAACCACCCAGAAAGTGGAGAGGATTGTCAGGGAAGTGAAGCAGAAGAAGGGCTTCAAGGAGGTATCTGAGAGGGACCGAAAAATTGCTGCCCTGATGATAGCCAAGCACCAAGAGGAGAGCCTGTGGAAGGAGCAGCAGTACAGCGCCCACCTCCAGTGGGATGTGCAGAGGAGGGTGGCAGAGCAGAGGAGGAGGCAGGAGGAGCAGGAAAAGCAGCTGGCTCTGCTGCAGGGCCACCGGATGTGGGAATCCCGGCTGGAGAAGAGACGTGGCCACCTGACCCATACTTGGGAAGAGGCTGTCCAGGTGAAGCAAAGACAGACCTTGATGGAGGACGAGAAGTGGCGGGAACACGTGGAGAAGCAGGAGCGTGTGAGGAGGGAGAGGCTGGAAAAGGCTGCTCTGGAGGACAAGAAGAGGAAACGCCACCAAGAGCACAACCTGAAAGCTCAGGAAGAAAGCAAGAAAGAAGCCCAGGTGCGAGAGGTGCAGCTGCTGCAAGAAAAGCTCACCTTGGCAGCCCAGAAGAAGCTTATGAAAGAACAGCTGATTCAGAAGGAGAAGAAGCTGCTCAATCAAGCTGACAGGCAGAAACACAAGGCCATTCTCAAGGGACTGGCTAAGCAGGAGACCCAAGAGAGGGCAGTGCTGAGGGCCGCCATGGAAGGGAGCCTAAGCAAAGCTCAAGAGAACTATGAGCAGCTCATTGAGAAAAGGAACCAGGAATTGAGAGAGAGAGCCAAACGGGAAGACCTGCAGTTCCAGAGGGCCAAGCTGGCAGCAGAGCGCAAAGACCGGGAACAGAAGGAGCACATAAGAGCCTTAGCTCAAGCTTCAGAGAGGAAGCTCCAACATGCTGCTCAGGTGGCCGAGGAAGTTGTCCAGCAGAAAGCTCGAAAGGTGGTGCAGAACCGGCTGGAGAAGGAGAAGGTGCAGAAAGTAAACAAGAGGAAAGTCGAGGAGTATGAAGATATCCGCCGGAGGGAGATCCTGATGTCTATTGAGAAAAAGCTGGAGCGAAGTGAACAGATTTGTAGGGAGAAAAAAAATGTCTTGGAAAATGCAAGGTCTGTGGCTCGGGCCTCATTTCACGTGAGGGAAAAAGTCCGGGAAGAGATGAACATCCGTACCTTTGACAAGATGGCCTTTGAGGCAGAACTGCAAGCCAGCCTCGTTAAAAAATGAATTGTCTTTTTTTTATTTGGGATTCAGTGGGGATTTCTGTTTTGCTGCCTATTGTCAGAACTGGGAGATTTTTTTTTTTTTTTTTTTAAAAACACTTTATTATTTTATGGAGCACAAAAACTTGGCCATATGCTTCATAGACCTTTTTCAAATGCTCTTGTTATACGTATTCAAAATAATGCAACCATCTATACAGAGAAAATATGTATCCCTTCCTCTGTTGAATAAAATACTGTTTCCATGGAATAAAATCAAGATAGGTACATTTTATATAAGAATTCTTTCCCCTCCTCAAGGGCCATTTCAGTTCCCTCAAATTCTAATGAAGTATTATCATATTGATATATCTGAGTCTTAATTTGAATGTCACTCTGCAGCGGAACTTTTGGTCTCTTATATATGTCCATATTTGAAAAAGAGTTTATCTGGTGCACTTTATTTATCCTTCTGGTTGGAAACTCTAGGCCTTGTAACTTTTTAATAACAAAACTGAAATTCTGATTCACAACATGAAAGCATGTGGAAAAACTTGTTCCAATAAAATTGCAAATGTGTAGAAAGTGTCATTTATACAGTCCCTTTCATTAACTATTATTTATTTATGTATTAATCCATTTAATATAGCTGTCCATCTCCAAAGAAACTCTGGGTAACAAAGGGGAAAAAACCAAGGTTTTCCATTAAAACCAAATGAAAACAAAATAAGTGAAGGTCCAATTAAATTTCCATAATCAATCACACAGACCAATGCCTGAGCTCCATAATTAACATCCTGGCTTCAATAGCTGGGGGAAGACCCAGGTCTTCATGGTCTACATTTCACAAGATTCACAATGGAAAGAATAAGCCTTGTATAATTATCAGTAGTGATGTATGTGAATAATTATCCCAAAGTTACTGGGTCAACTTGAAAACATCTTGTTGCATACAAATGTGCTCCAAGTATAGTGTACTTGGATAATAAAAGGACACTCATTTTTGGATAGAAAATAAGTATAACACTGCAGGGAAAGGTCTATGAAAATCCTGTAGATTAATAATATACATTCATCAGCTCAACACTGTATAATTGATTGCACCTGTATGTCAAGGATGTCTCAATTGGTGCTAATAACAAAATATAGTAACATGTCTTGGAATTGGTATGTTTTGTAGTATTCCTGCTCAACAGGCAAGTACAATTTATTACTTGTGGAATATTCTTAATGATGTCTAACCCTATGAGAACTCTTCTATGCAGAAATAAATCACATTTATTCTCTGCTTAGCTGTTAAAGTCAGAACATCTCATTATGCAAATGGTATCTTGTAAGTCTGTGGTTCAGAAGATGTTTATGGAGATTCTCAAGTCATCCAGGACATAGTTATCCCAAAGATGCCCTTTTTTCACAAGGCAACTGGACTTTCTTGTTTTTCTTTGAAGATGTTTCACTTCTCATCCAAGAAGCTTCTTCAGCTCTGACTGGATGGTGGGGAATGGGTTCAGAAGATGTTTGCTTTAAAAGCTCCAGGGCAGGCCCCATTTTTAAATAAGGCAATGATTTAGGCATCAGATGCTGGAAGCGAGGTGAGAATGAACCAGCACTGAAGTATTGGAAAGCAGGGCTGATTGGTTATCTGGAAGCAAGGTGCTGCTTTCCTGCTGTCAGTGTGAAAGTAATCTCCACTTGCCAGTCCCATTGTCGTCTGTATATGGATATGGGAGGATAAAACGATCTTGTCCTGGATTTAAAGATAAGCATCCTAGTATGGTATTAAAAATGGCTATTATGAAACGGATAATGTTGCAAGCAAAATTCCTTTAAAAGTTGTCAGATGTATCAAAAACCTCTATCCCCTTCTAAGCAAATGGAATTTTCTGGGTCATGAGGCTATACCGTGAAACTTTATATGCCAGATACACCTTTTATTAAAAAAGGCTTCTTGAATGGTATCTTTGAAATATTTTTATTGTGTTGCTTAAAGGGTATGATCGTCATGATATGGCATTGGACAGTATTCACACAAAATTTGATTGTTTAAATTTGCAATTTTTCTGAGTGCATTCAAAATATTAATGATGGCAAAAGGCAGATTTACCTGGAGTAGCTTATATCCCGTGACAATATCTTGAACACCATCAAACAACATTTGCTTATTTCAGGTAATTGGGAAGGACTCGTTAGATGGATCAAAATTCCAAATCCAGTCTAAATATCTGGCTGACTGGTCAATGAGCCATAATGGATAAGGTTTACTGGTTTTAAATTCCTAAACTTGGACCCAAAGTGTATATTACCTGCTGAAAACTGCACTCTGATGCAGGAACAAATTATTAAGCAATCAGAAACGAATCATGTAAACCCCCAGTCTGTGGACTGGTACTGGGCCCCTGCATGCCAGCAACTGGGCCGCACAAATAAGCAAAGCCCCATTCGTGGGATGCAGGCAGCACACAAAACCATACAATCTTTCTCCATGGAACCGGTCCCTGGTGCCCAAAAGGTTGGGGATCTCTGATGTAAACTACATTGACTAACATAACTTTAATTAAATTTGATTTAATTCAATTTAAATGTTAAGTCAAATTTACATTTAATTGAAGAGGGTCCTTAAGTATGCCATTAAAGACCAAGATAAGCCTTATATTAAAAAGGGAAGTGTTTCTTAGAGCATGAACATTCTAGCTGGTCAGAATATTGCAAGTTCATGGGGATGCATGTACAGTATAAATAAAATCTGGTGGGGCACTTGAAGTCAGACTATTGTAGAGGTTTCTATTTCAACCTCCTCTTCTCCAGATACTTTGACCTCATTTTCCAAAATACCTAGGCGGTATGAGAAACACACAATAGTTGAGAATTGTGAGAGCTGAAGTCTAACATACCCAGAGGGCACCATGCTACAAAAAAAGCATTATTTTATAGAAGAAATTCTGTTACAGGTAGGCAAGATTTCATTCACAACTCTGCATCCATGGAAAGAATTTGTGGACTTCCCTTATGTGCTTTTTCATCTGCCCACAACTAAAACTCATATGTGTGTTTGATATTTTACTTTTGGGACAATCGGACCTCCACCCCCCATCCCCCACCCCCATATGGTTGCCCTTGAACCTGCAGTCTTTAGAAAGGCAGTCAAGACCTGGCTCTTTTCCCAGGTGTGGGGTCTGGATGAGTGAAGTCACAGATGGTTGAGCAGCAGTATATTTTAATCTGGTCACTATGTTACAGCTTACTCCAGTGATGGCGAACCTTTTAGAGACTGAGTGCCTAAAACACATCCTACCCCCACCCTGCATCCTGCCCCTGTTCTGCCCGCCGCCCTGCCACCTGCCCTCAGGGCCACCCATCACCTCCACGGCCCACTGGAGATCACCCAGGCGGCCCAGCAGCACCATGGCTGCCATGTCCTCCGCCCGCGCCCTACAGCATCATCTGTGCATGACAGGGTGCGAGGGCGGAGTCTTGCCTGGCTGCCATGTCCTTGGCTGTGCTGTTCCAGATGGGCCGCACCCGGGGCAACTCTCCTCTGGGGGGGCTGCTGGTGAGGAGGGGGCTGCGGGAGGAGGCGGGGCTGGGATGGCAGCACGCGTGCCCACAGAGAGGGCTCTGAGTGCTGCCTCTGGCACACGTGCCACAGGTTCGCCACCACTGGTTTACTCTATTAGTTGTCTTTTAATGGATTTTTTTTGGGGCCTAGGTTGGGTTGATGGTGATTTCACATTGAAACTAAATGGATATTATATTTTTGTTTTGTTTTTTATTGGCTTCCTTTGCTTCTTTGAGTTTAGGACCATTTAATGCCTATTTTAGTGTTATGTACCATGTTTTATCAACTGTTCCCCCCTCCCTCTGCATGGCATTGATGCTGGCAGAATGTAAAATGATTACTAAATTAATCATCCTAGCTGATGTAACCTCCCCCAGAGAGACTTATAAACAGAGCATCCAGATTATTTCTATTCTCTTATTTTGCCATCTGCTTTGTGAAGCTATGCAGGACAGTGAAAGTGTAAAGATTTACAATATTGAGGCTTTTCAAGACCTTCTTTATTCCTTGTTAATTTTCCTCTTTTCCTACCTAGCATCCATAGTCATTTTGTTTGAGTTGCATAGCCACGTTAAACAAAAATCCATATTTTAGGAATATTGTTTAACATCACATTTACATCTTTAACTATTACTGTTCTTTTCAAACTTATATTAACTGAATATAACATGAAACCCAAACTAATCTGATAAGAACCATTTAAAGTTAAAGAGCTCCCAAATTTCTTACAGGGCCAGGACAAAATACATGATATTCAATTTTTTTTTGACACGCACATTACACATACACACACAAACACACACTAGTGTTTATCCTGCGGTATGAAAAGCAATAATATGCCACACAAAACCTTTAGGTGATATATCCATCCTTTGGCTTTTCTTCTGAAACTAATAATGATGAGTTCTAATAAGCAGGGGTAGTCAACCTTGGCTCTTTTATGATTCGTGGACTTCAACTCCCAGAATTCCTGAGCCAGCTGGCTCAGGAATTCTGGGAGTTGAAGTCCACGAGTCATAAAAGAGCCAAGGTTGACTACCCCTGCTAATAAGTAAAGATGTACAACACTCAGAGTCACTTGTTGTGATGGGCAGTTATAGAAATCAAATATAAAGAAATAAATATAAATAATTATCTGAAAGGCTATGTTTATTTATTTATTTATTTATTTATTTTAAAAAGATACTTATAACTGTCTGGTCTGTATCATTTATTCCAGCAGTCTCCACCTTTTACCAGCTTGGCAGACCGGTGGCAGGGGAGGAGATGGGATGGTTCCATGTGAGTGGCTGCGCGCGCACATATTCACCTGGCACTTGTATGGCCAGGGGCTTGGGTACCCCTAATAATAATAATAATAAAGTTGGAAGGGACCTTGAAGGTCATCTAGTCCAACCCCCTGCTCAGGCAGGAAACCCTATACCATTTCTGACAAATGGCTGTCCAGTTTCTTCTTAAAAACTTCCAATGTTGGCACATTCACCGCTTCTGGAGGCAGGTTGTTCCACTGGTTAATTGTTCTAACTGTCAGGAAGTTTCTCCTTAGTTCTAGGTTGCTTCTCTCTTTGGTTAGTTTCCACCCACTGCTTCTTGTCCTGCCTTCAGGTGCTTTGGAAAATAGCTTGACTATCTCTTCTTTGTGGCAGACCCTGAGATATTGGAACACTGCTATCATGTCCCCTCTCATCCTTCTCTTCGTTAAACTAGACATACCCAATTCCAGCAACCGTTCCTGATATGTTTTAGCCTCCAGTCCCCTAATCATCTTTGTTGCTCTTCTCTGTACTCTTTCTAGAGTCTCAACATCTTTTTTATATCATGATGACCAACACTGGACGCAGTATTCCAAGTGTGGCCTTACCAAGGCATTGTAAAGTGGTATTAATTAATTAATTAACCCCTGATTTATTCATTTAAACTGATACATCTTTCACCCAAAGAACTCAAAGGTAGTATTCGCTAATAGGACCCCCTCCTCCCCCACACCAACTATGAACTATGGAGCTTCTCAGTTATCCAGGTCATAATTGTCTCAAAGATGCTTTTTCACGAGGCAACTGGACTTGTTTTTCTTTGTTTCACTTCTAATCCAAGAAGCTTCTTCAGCTCTGACTGGATTGTGGGGAATGGCAGGATTTATACTCCTTCCAGACAGCTGGTCATTTGCATTCTTTTAGAAAATCGTTGAGGCCACCTGTTGTCAGGGTCACCTGAGTAGTGCAAATGTGGAGCCTTCTTGGAAAAGACTGTGTTATAGACTGGACATAGATGATGTTGTATCCCTCCCCCTCTGCTGAGAGAGGGCTGTTCAATTTTGACATAGATGGGCTCTTTGACCCCTCTTTCAAACCAAGGGTCCTCTCTGCCCAGAATGTGGACTTTGCTGTCTTTAAAAGAGTAGACTTTGTCTTTCAAATGCTGATGGCCTGCTGAACCTTGTCCTGATGGGTTTGTTCTCCTATGTTGTGCCATGCATTTATGAACAAAACAACCACAACAAAACAACTACTTCATAAACACATGGCACAAGATAGGAGAGCAAACCCATCAGGAAAAAGTTCAGCAGGCCATCAGCATTTGAAAGACAAAGTCCACTCTTTTGAAGACAGCAAAGTCCACATTCTGGACAGAGAGGACCGCTGGTTTGAAAGAGGGGTCAAAGAGGCCATCTATGTCAAAATTGAACAGCCCTCTCTCAACAGAGGGGGAGGGATATATGACATCATCTATCTCTCTACAACACAGTCCTTTCAGCAGTTCCAGAAGGCTCCACACCCATTTGCACTACTCAGGTGACCCTGACAAAATAGACAAGCCTCCAGGGGGCCTCAACAATTTGCTAAAAGAATGCAAATGACCAGTTGTCTGCAAGGAGTATAAATCCTGCCATTCCCCACAATCCAGTCAGAGCTGAAGAAGTTTCTTGGATAACAAGTGAAATGTCTTCAAAGAAAAACAAGTAAGTCCAGTTGCCTTGTGAAAAAGCATCTTTGGGACATCTATGAATGCTATTGTTTTATTTGTTTCATTTTGAATTTCTTACATCTTTATAAAGCATTTTTCTTAGGTTTCATATACTTTGTGCATATATTCATTACCACAGCAGCAGCAAATGTCCTTTGTGATGAATGTTTTGCAATTGCAGAGAAAGGAAATATAACAAACTCAATATAGTACAGTAACTCTTCAAGCATTCATTGTGTAGCTGCACAAAGCAGGTGGTGAAATGAATATGAAAATAATCTGGATGCTCCA